AATGGAGCAGACTGCAGTGTCCGGCAGCAAGGGGAATCCAGGGCAAAGTCCTTGACGCCAGTGACACAGGCAGCAGGCACAGAGGGCCACTGGTCCCTCAGAATTACGGTACACAGGAAATGAGACACGGTAAACACAGAAGGGAGGGAGTGCCGAGTTTCACTGTGGCCCCCACAATGTCTGTAAGGATTAAGTCAGAAATTGGCTGTGCAACCATTTCAAGTGTCTGGTGGGTTGGGCTTGGGAGAGATTAGTGGAGCCTTCATCCCGGCCTGCCATGGATGAAGTCTGTGACTTTGAGATCCCAGTGGCGGGAGGAAGGCAGGGGTTGTCAGCAGGTATGGGTGACTTTGAACACTTCCAGAAATAAAAAGTGGCTTTTCTTTAGGACTTCAGCATTTCAGCTGAGGGGTGCCCTTGGATGCCCTGTTGGCCCTCCTTGTCATGGATGAGCCCAGTCAGTGGGGGACATGGAGTGTGTGGAGGGAGCTGGGCTCCAGCGGGCCCCCGTCCCACTGTCTGAAGACAGTTATGTTGCTGTTTCCGCCACCACTGTGTAAAGGCCGCCACTTTACAGCCAGATGCCTGGTTCCTCCTCCACTGGTGATAAGAACAGACTGACCCTCTCTCACAAGTTCACTGTGAGAACTGAGTTAAAATTGATATAGAAGGACCCCATTTCATTTATTTTTTAACTTTAGACAGTTATGCGTAGATGGACATGCGTATCTTTTAAGACAGGGACTCACATACCAAGACTCTGGTTGCTAGCTGCCCCAAGCATCTCTCTAAGCATCTAGGGGTCAGAGGGACAAATGTCGCAGCTGAAGGTAACTTATCTCTTAGGAGCCCTGGGATTTTCCTTTGTTATCCTGGAACTCACTAAGTAGACCAGGCTGGCCTTGAACTCACAGAAATCTGCCTGTCTCTAACTCTCTAGGTCCAGGATTAAAGGCATGTGTTATACCAGGCCTGACTACATTGCTGTTTTTAACCAAAACTACAAAGGGAACAGGTGGTCACTGTGGACAACTGGAAACATACAGAAAATTAAGTTGTACTTAATGAACTTGATGAACTCAATGTACTTGATGAACACCTATGCACACACATTTAAAGCAGCTCAGCACTCAGCCTCTGGGCCCCACAGAGGCCATCTGAATGGGGCCCAGAATCACAGTGGGCTGCTCAGAGCCCAGGCCTGTGGGAGGTCAGGACAGGACCTCTCTGCCTGACTCCAGCCCTCAGCTTGGCCTGAAGCAGGACTCTGCACGCGATGCCCGTCAGGCTGCTCTTGGTCCCCATATATGGGGCAGCTTGTTGTTTGGGGCGATTGTGTTGGAAGGAGAACCTGCAGGCATGTTTGGGAATGAATTAGGCCTTTGTGTGAAAAGCCACACTCAACTATGACCCAGCTTCTGGTAACCCGCTCTAAAAGCCGAGTAATAACCGAAATATGGAAGGAGGGGCAGGAGCCCGCAGAACATCTCCAGCTTAACAACACTGGAACTTACTGACCGCACAGGGAGGCACCCAGCCCAGTTCTCTGCCCTGCTTCTTCCCCCCTTTAATCAGGCTTCCTTGATTACTGCCAAACCTAAGACAGTGGGATACGTGTCTACTCCCCCACTGAGTTTCTCACAAATCCTAACAGTCAGAATGCCTATGATATGCTGGGTACATATTCTGTGCCAGCCCCTGAACAGAAATCATATTTACTCCTCATCTTGCTTGAAAGACAGACAGAACTATTGCTCAGCCAGGTCAGTGACTCACTCGGGCTCTGCTCTCACTGAGCCTAGAAGTTAAACCCAGCATCTAGTTCCTGAGACTTTAGCATAGAATTGGTTGTGTTTCATGCATCATGTGTGTGATTTTTTTTTTTAATTTTGAGACAAGGTCTCATGTATCCCAGGCTGGCCTTAAACTCACTATGTAGTCCAGAATGATGCTGTACTTCTGATCTTCCTGCCTTCCCCTCTTGAATGCTGGGATTGAAGGCGCACACCACCAAGCAGGGTCTACGTGGTGCTAGGTCCCAGGGTGTCTCATCACTTCCCTCTCTGGGGAGCAATAACTTCCTCACCCTCAATCAACGGCTGTTCTCTTACCCACCTGTCTATCAAAGGTCTTTCCTGCTCAGTGCTATCATACTAATTTTCTTCATCTTTTCAGCTCACTGGCTTTGTAGTTTCATTATTAGTGGGTACAGTGAGATTTGGGAAGATCTGTCATTTTTGCATAATAGAACCAAGGGCTGAAGGCGGTGTTTCGTCATTTCCCTTGACTGTGGCTGACAGGGCTCCTCTGCGCATCACCTCGTCTCACCTGCATGTTTTCCTGAGCTGGCAGCTGGGGAACACAAGGGGGCCTTGTTGGCATCTTGTGCTTGATTCTAGCTGTTGACCGGGACGTCTCAGTTCTCCTGGTTGCCCTTCATGTTCCAACTAGCTTGAAAGATTATTGAAGGGGTGCTTTCAGGGCAACAGGGCAGAAGTTATATACAACATCATTCAATAAATGGGATCAGCTAGAATGAACCCTGGGTTCCTTCAGTCCTTTTGTCAGGATATTTTATCAAAGCACAAAGAAGTGACCAATGTGAGCAGAACTTGCTCTTCACCAGGGAGCCCTCTCTCCAGCTCCAGCATGCCCTTCTCCAGTTCACAGCCTTCATCAGATTTTCAGACGTCTTCCCACCCAAACTTCTGGATAAGTATCACAACTCTAGGGCCCTCACTCTTTCAATGTGCATGCCTCTACTGTGGTTTGGGCATAGAAGTACATTGTGATGGAATTATGACCAGAGTAGGGAACCACTAGGATGTGAGAAGAATCCAGACGGTTTCTTCTGTCTGGTAGCAGATGAGCATCATAGAAAGTGGCACTCCACTCCACCGCTGTTGCTCAGTACTTCCTTTGTGACTTCAATAGAGTGAGCCAGCTTTCACCTGGTCCATCTCATGTCCATTTAAAGTACCTGTCAGATTCCTAACACTCCTCACACTGCCCACACACCATAGCAGGGGAGCTCAAACTTGCTTGGAGAGTAGCAGGTATTTCTGAAGCGATGACTTGCTGTTCCTTGAAGGTGCTTCCCACGCTGGCTCTTCTCGGTTTTTGTTTTTGTTTTTGTTTTGTCATCTTCTGACTCAAAGCCAGAACAAGAAATTTCCCTCAGGCTCTGAAGTATCTGCCGGCTGACCCCCGCTGGGGAGGGTGTGCTCAGGTCTCCCAGGATACAAGGTAGCAAAGAAAAAGATAATTCTGGACCCTACATATTCAGTGTGAAATTTTAGCAGATTCACTTTCTCCCTAACAGGTCATTTCCCCCACCTTCTGCTGTCCCCACCTATGCTTGTTCTCAGGTCAGGAATGAGGGAAGACAGCTGGGGGCCCATCAGCCTGACGGCTGTCCCTCATGCTCCTCCCACAGGGACAGTCTGGTGGATTTCTTCCTCATAACCTACTTGTCACTGAACCGTCCCAACAGTTCAGCTGAAGGGGCAGAGGTATTCCCAGTTCATAGTGTCTCCTGCTGAGTTCTAGAGAATGGGGAGGGACACAGGTCACATATCACAGCTGTTTGGAGCTGGCAACTCATCCAACACTCTACAGATGTGGGTGCAACGTCACAGAGAGGTCGTAATAGGGTTTCTGCCTCAGGCCCCGCTGGAACAGATCCTGGCTTTTCAGCTCTCATTGGATAAAAGCACTGAGGATAGGGAAGGGGCAGGGTTTGGTGGCAAGTAGTTAGGGTTCAAATCCTGGCTTTGAGCAATGGCAGGCAGATTCTTTAATCTCTGTAGGCTCTCTCTCCTGTATCTAGAGGGAGGATAATGCCTGTACTTTGAGAGGTATGTGGCTTTGAGCAGAGGGCCAGCATACAGCAAGTGTCCCTGAACACAGCTGTTGGCCTTCTCAATTCCAGTCAGCGCCAGCAGCCTTTTTGGCTCACTGCGGGCCTTCTCTTGGCTCCTGTCCTCTCTTTGTGATCAACCCTCTTGCTGTTTCCCTTGAAGGATGGATACCAGCTGATTCCCAGCTGGCACATGAGCCAAGTACTCCTGTCCCTACTTGACAGTGTAGAAGCTGAGGCAAACTGGATGATGTCCCCAAGGCTCAAGCTATGGCACCACCAGGCTTTGAGTGTGGGTCAGATTCTAAATTCAGTCTCCAACAAATCTTAAGTCCATGGTCCTGGACCAGCTGTCACCAAGGGAGACCTGGATGTAGCCAAGTATTACTGTCACTAAATTCTTCCCAAGCAGTTTACTCCCTGGACTTTGAACAGGTGCCAAAGGGGTATGCATGGGAAGGCAGAAGAGGATACAGGCAATGCAGTGAGACCTTGAGCTGTTGCTGACTGCCTTTGCTATATAACAGGCTCCATGCAGGTCTTGAAGCTATAAGATGTTGTCCAATAAGTAAAGCACACTCTCTAAGCACAGGGGCCCTGCCTTGTTTTCCTGGATCTCCCTCAGTCACAACAGTGCCGGCCCCTCAATAACATCTGATTAACTGGTTGACCCACAAACAGCCAGGGCAGAAGACAAAGGCCCCAGTGAACACAGCAGGAGTGTGCTGGACTGCTGAAGCATGAGAGGAACCAGACCCTGGTCCAGGAAGCCTCCTCTGGAGAGATGGGGTGGGCTGGAGTTGGCTGATGAGAACAAACAGGTAGCACAGGTGATCCAGTGAAGGGCTTCCATCAACCAGGAAGACCAACAGTAGAACCATATGGGACTGTTGTAGACCGAGGAGCTAGAAATGGTGGATGTTCAGCTTGGCTCCCCCAAATCCCATCACATCTGCCAAGGTGTCCGAACAGACTCCGTGCAGGGCCCTATCCAGGCAATGTTCCCTGCTCCTCCCTGCCTCCCCTCTCAGCAGGAAAAGCCTGGCCTCACTAGGAAGGATGTTCAGGACAAGATGATTACAGGATGGAAGTGAGACTGATGTGTGGACAAGGGCGAAGGCAACTGAGTATTCAGCTAGAGGAGAAAGGAACAAAGGGGGAGTAGTCAACCATCTTTTCCTGCATTGCAACAAGAAGAGCCCCCACCCCTTCTTCCTCTGAGCCTGGGCTCTCCCTCCCTCCATCTTTATCTCCTCCACTTTGGTGCTCTACTCACTTCCACTTCATCTTTTATCACGATTAAGCACCTACTGTATGCCACACACTTTGCCAGGCTCTAGAGACCATGGGGTCATGAGGAAGAAAAAGTTTATACCCAGATGACCACGCTCTAAAACCTCAGAGCTCTGGGTCCTGTGCCACACATCAGAGGCAGAAAGGGCTGAGGCATCCGTAGTCACTCGGCCTGGTTAAGGAGAGTGAACTGCAAACCAGGGAAAACACATCCAGACAAGAATGCAAACCCAGCAAAGGCCCAGGTTGCAAAATGCAAAGTAGTTAGGCAATGATGGGCAAGTAGGCTTTGCTGAAACAAAAGGAAGAGTGCTGGGCAATATAATGTGGGCAGGATCGAGCAGCACCCGGAGCCCAGGAACATAGAGAACATGGGCATTACTAGAGTCTAGCTCTCCCTGTGTTCAGAGTTGCACAGGTGATAAGTCATGTGGACCAATCAGCTGGCAGGGTGCTTGCCTAGCATGAACTGAGCCCTGGGTTCTCAATGCCTAGCCCTACGACAGAACCAGGCATATGGTGGCTGCCTATAACCCCCACTTGGGGGGTGGGAGGTAGGAGGATGAGGAGTTCAAGGCCAGCCTGAACTACAGGAAAACCTGTCTCAAACAAACAGAATACCACCATCAACAACAACAAAAAACAAATTCAGAGTGCTTCTCAGTCAAAGAAACTGAGTGACTGAAAAAAACAGAAGCTTCTTGCTTGAAGGTGGTTTTGCCCCAGGGGACATAAGGCAATGGCTGATAGGACTGCTCTTGTTCTAACTTGGGGTGCTGCTCCTGCCTCTCTGCCACAGGCCCAGGCTGTCAGTTCTGTCCTGGTCTGTGTGCTGGCTAGCCGTGCCACTGTGCAGTACAGACCAGAACAGCTGGTTCACAGTCAGGACTGGAGAGACAGAGACAGAGAGAGAGGATGCCCTGGCAGGGGAGATGAAGACCACCTGGGCAACAGGCTGAACTCTTAGCTCATTGGGACACATCTGCCATTAAGATTTGGGAGTGAATCTAGGGGGTCTTTCTATACAGTAGTCCTGACCATGTATGTCTGGGATGTGGGAATCAAACAGGACCTACTCAGCTGGGTGCCATGTGGGTGCTGACAAGTGTCCTGTGCTCAGGTTCTTCTTCCCACCCTCACCACTGAAGGTCTTCCTTATGAAGGCCAAGCCTTCTGTCTATATTGATTACTATCTTGTACCCAGTGCCTGGCACACAGCATGCGTTCAGTTAAAAAAAGTGTTGAATGGGAACTGAAGAACTGGGTCCGGTTTGCAGCTCCCAACTGTCTCTAACTCCTGTTCAAAGGGATCTGATTCCCTCCTCTAACCTCTGTGGGCACCAGGAACATGTGGTGTATACAACTACATACATGGAGGCAAACCCTCATGCACATAAAAGTAAATAAATATTTTTAATGTGTTAAATGAAGGTCAATGAGATGGCTCAGCACGTAAACGAGCTTGCTGCTCAGCCTGCTGACCTGAGTTCAATCTCTGGGACTCACACAATAGAAGAAGAAATCCTGATTTTACAAGTTGTTCTATCTATCTATCTATCTATCTATCTATCTATCTATCTATCTATCTATCTATCTATCTACCTATCTGTCTGTCTGTCTGTCTGTCTCTCATGCACACATATACACACATACATGTTAATTTAAAGTAAATTTAAAAATAAAACTGACCCTGCTCTCCACCGAGGGTTCAGGAACTGGGGCCATAGGCTGCTGCATTGGTCTCTCCCCCTCTAAACCAGCAAGAGGACAGATGTTTCCCTGCTGAAATGTGCAGCGTTTTTGTTTTCACTATTCATAACCGTCATTTTGAAATAGCTTGATCATCCTCACACAATTATTCCTGAAAAAAAACCTAGCACAATGAAGGGGTCAAGGCAGTGTGATGCAACAGGCCAACCACTTAGCAGCCAAATGAAATTGCAGCCACTTGACAGGGCATGGCTCAAGCAAAGGGCCTCACTGCCTCAGGAACTGCTGCCTGGTGTTGTGACACTCATCTTGTGGAGTGCGGTGCAAGCTGAGGCCACACAGCTGTCAGGGCTTCAGTCACTGCCTGCTTGCCTGAGGAAGTCCATTCATCACAGCACTGACCACCAGGGCCTGGTGACACAAGGGAGTGAGGACCCAGCCAGAGGGCAAATGCCAAAGGTCCCCCGGAAACAAACGAAAGAAAATAAGCACTGTAGAAGCAGGAGTCCAGGCCAAGCCAGAGTTAGCCAGTAATTCTGTGTTAGTGGGGTGGTGAACAATAAGGGGTATGGGGGTCTGTTACCCCCGAGGCAGTGGCCCATGGGGTTTTAATGTAAGCCTGGGCTCACAGTTTGGGCTAGGTAGAGCAAAGCTCTCAGTCAGATTCCTGGGCAAGTCTTAGCTGAGCTGCAAGCTGTCAGTGTCCAGGCTGCTGGAGTCAAGGGGCTCTTGACTGTGTGGCTCTCTGAGCTGTGTGGCAGCAGTCATGTATGACGAGTATTATAAAAAGTTACATGGAGGATGTCATGATAGTACACACTGTTAGGCCCAGCACTTGGAAGGCAGAGACATGGGGATCTCTGTGAGTTCAAGGCCAGTCAGCCTGGTCTATGTGGCAATTCCAGGCCAGCCATGGCTACATAGTAAGGCCTTGTCTTTTTTTTTTTTTTTTTTTTTCTTTTTAAAGTCTATGTGGCAGGCTGGGGTGATGACTCAGTGGGTAAGTGTGCTCACAGTGCAAGCATACAGGCCTAAGTTCAGATCTCTACCATCTATATAAAAACATCGGCTTCAGGCCAACCGAGATGGCTCCACAGGTGAGGACACTTGCCACCAAACCTGACAACCTGAGTTCAGTTGTTAGAGCCCACATGGTAGGAGGGGAGAACTGACTCCTGCAAGTTCTTCTCTGACTTCCACGTGCATGCTGTGCATGTATGCCCCCCCCATAAATAAATAAATGTAGAAATGCCAGCTAGACTCAGCCCCACCTCCTGTAACCTCACAGATTGGGGGGAGAGTGCTATGGGATGTCTTTCTGTATGCTGTGAATATGTGTGGCTGTCACTGGATAATAAAGCTGTTTTGGCCTATGGCAAGAAAGCTCACAGTCAGGTGAGAGATCTAAGCAGAGATACAGAGAGTAGAAGGGTGGAGTCGGGAACAAGCCAGTCCACCACCGAAGCAGCAACAAGATGCCAGCAGACCTGCAGACTGGTAACACCACGGCCACAATGGCCATTTTATAGAAATAGGTTAATTTAAGATGAAAGAGCTAGCTAGCAAGAAGCTGAAGCTAGGCCATACAATTTGTAATTAATATAAGCCTCTGAGTGATTATTTTATAAATGGCAGTGGAACCATGGGGCTGGGTGGGACCAAGAAACTTCCAGTTACAGGAGAAGAATGTCTCTAGGAATAAGGCAAAGAGGATTTCCTCCTCTGGCCTGCACACACACGATGCTGCACCTTGCAGGGTATGCGCCTTCATTAATAACTCTGGGGAGGTCCAAGGATACACACATCATGTAGGTGTCTGAACAATGACATCAGATAGGTGAATTCATAATCATTTCATAATCAGGCAGCATTCTTCTGTTTGTAAAATTCTTTCATATACATGTAATCCTTAAATAAAAGTGACATTCAAGTATTATTTCTCTCATTTTACAGAGGCTCAGAAAGGGTAGATGAACTATCAGCTTGGATCAGCTCTAGGCTCTGAGGTCAGACCTCTGTGGTGTCTGCTACTAGACACAACTGTTTCTCCCCATCATTTCCCTCCCGTTCTCTTTTGGAGTCAGCTTTGGGGTCCACTTGTATGTTTGTGCTGTTACTCACCTCTCCCAACAAATTCAAGCATTCCCCTCCCTGTTTCTGAAGGAGGCAGCCTAGAATGTAGAATTCTCTCAAAGCAAATTCATGTTCCAGGGTTGATCTGGTCAACTGCTCAAGCTAGTGTTCCTCCTCAAGGATAGCTGGAAGGCAGGACACCTTGTCCCTCACTGCCCTGATGACCTGTGATCCTGAGTTAGGCAGACACAGCCATTCTGACATGTGTGAGCTGCCTAAGAAGGTGACTAGCCACTCTCCTAGGTGCTCACGGAAGGATGAATGAAGTTCAGTGCCTTGAAAGAACTTTTCAACTTTACCTCTCAGTAAAGTTTGCATAAGGATTCTGGATGCTGGGAATAAAACAGAAGATAACTTTAGTCTGTAAAAGGATTAAAATACTCTCTGATTTTTAATTGACAGCTCACATTTTACCATTAATTTCATATCCATTCCACATTTAATCCTTATAGTGCAAACAGCCTCATAAGCTGTTATTACCCCAACTGTTTACTTATTTATTGTATTGTAGATATGTGCATGGTATATGTATATAGTGTGTACAAGCGCACTTTGTGTGAAGGCCAGAGGAAGGATCTGGGTGACTTGTTCACTTTCTGCCATAGTCCCTTGAGACAGAGGTTTCTCAATGAACATAGAGCTAGGCTGGCAGCCACTGAGCCCCAGGATCCATCTGTCTCTGCCCCCAATCAATCGGGGGCTACAGGTTTGTGTGGCCACATCTAACTAATGTGGTTGCTGAGGACTTGAACAGCAAGTGCTCTTACCTGCTGACCCATCTCTCCAGCCCATTATTCCAGTGTTAAAAATGGGGAAAACTGCCGGGCGGTGGTGGCGCACGCCTTTAATCCCAGCACTCGGGAGGCAGAGCCAGGCGGATCTCTGTGAGTTCGAGGCCAGCCTCGACTACCAAGTGAGTTCCAGGAAAGGCGCAAAGCTACACAGAGAAACCCTGTCTCGAAAAACCAAAAAAAGAAAAAAAAAATGGGGAAAACTAAGGACTGGAAAGATGGCTCAGTGGTTAAGAGCTCACACTGCTATTTTCAGCACCCTTATCAGCCAGCTTACCATAATTGCAGCTCTGGGTGTTCCAATACCCTCTTCTGGACTCCTCTGTTATCTGTATTCACACATGCACATGTCTACACACACACACACACACACACACACACACACACACACGTACACCCATACTTAAAAATAAAATAATCTTTTTAATGGAGAAAACTTTAGTTACAAGTACACAGACGGCTTGTCTGATGTCACAAACTGACACTTGGCAAAGCTGAAAAAGATTCATTTTATCTGATAAGTCCAAGTCTTTCCAGATAACAACAACTTCCCATGGTTGAAGAGTTAATTAATAGCAAATTCAAAGGTTGATTAGAACTAGGGCCTTTGAATGGGAATCTTACTAAATTCCTGTAAAATTATTACTCATCTCTTCTCCAAAAAATCAGAAATGCAAGCTAGCAGCATTTAAGTGGCACCACAGCCTATGAGCAAACATCACCACATGCAGATGGACAGAAGCCACTGTTTACTGTTAGGTCCATGGGTATTCAGGACTTGGACTTCAAGAAATTCCAGGCCAGCATTACTTCGATGAGTCGTACACAGCAACACTGGGTTTTGGGACTGGGTGCCTGAAGAACTGAAAAACAAATGTGAATCACAGTCCCTGTCTTCAAGGAGTTTATAGTTTGGTGGGAGGTGGGATTTGTCATGAAATTTTGAACAGGAATATACAAAACAAGATGATGGGCCAAGGGTGTGGCTCATTGGTAGAGTGCTTGTCTATTATGCACAAAACACCCTGGGTTCAATCCCTAAAACCATATATACCAGACATGACAGCACATTAATCCCAGCATTCCAGAGGTAGAAGTAGGAGGAGCAGAAGTTAAAGATTATTCTTGGTTACACAGCAAGTTTCAGGATAGCCTGGGCTACATGAGAGTGTCTCACAAACAAAAATGCCCAAGAATAAAATCAAGTACCCATTTATTTGGTACATAATTTAAAGAGGCTTCACAGAGGAAGTAAATCTAGAGAGCTGTGGCATTTGAAGGATGGAGAAAGTATTTCCAACTTGGTGAAGGATGAAGGTCTAAGCATCAAGCAGGTGTTGGAGATGCCTGGTTCCCACCCACCTACATTCCCAGAGATGTACCGTATATACTGTATATAATGTGCATACTGTATCTACTGTATATGCCATACTTGGGTCACTGGATAAGCCAGGGTTTAACACAGCTCAGCCTTTGCACCTATTCCCTCTTTTGGAACGACCCGTCCTCTCATTCCTTGTCCTCCCATCTCTAGCACCTCATCTACCTGTTACACACTTAGCTAGTTGTCAGCTCGACCTCATTTCCTCTGTGATGCCATCTCTGGCCCTCTGTAAGGCTTTGTTCTCCTCATGGCGTGGGGTAAGTGGCACAATGATAGGTCTGGGTACTAGGGGTCTCTACAGGAACAGAACTGATAAAAATTAACACGTGCTAAGGAGATTAGATAGGCTTATTCCGTATGCTGTGGGTACTCCAATGGCTGTGACACACTGGAGAGGCTGAGACACATAGCTCTACAGTCCATGAGGCTTGTACCACAACAGTCTCAACCTGGTGCCAAAGGCCTGGAGGATTCCGGAGAGCCACTGGTCTTCAGACCACAATGGAAGTCTGAAGAAGCTGGGGTCTGATGTCAGTGAAGGAATACAGCAGAAGGAGAAGCAGCAACACAGATGAACTCCCCAGTAACAGGAAGTGGGGGAGAGCTCTCTTGAACCTCCTTGTATCTGAGCTGGGTTGCCATAGGAAGGTGCAGTCCACATTTAGGATGAGTCTTTTAATTTCAGTTAATTTGATCAAGGAAATTCTTCACAGGTGTCTATCAATTTGCCTGTCACTTGATCCCAGACCTAGGCAAGCTGACAACCAACGTTAGCCTGTATCCTCATGGAACCACAGCCGTTTGTCAAAAGATGGAGATACTGAATGGCTGGCTCTGCAAAAAGCTTGCCCTGCCATAGGTTCACTGGAATCAGCTCTCTCGTGACCAGTAACTCTAACCAGACCACAGTTCTTCTTAGATGAGGGATTGCTGAATTGTTTGCATTCCATGTTATAATAAAAGCACATACACAGTAAATATTTATCTTATAAATACATTATACACAGATACTAAAGGCTAGCAATGACATCGTAGATGTTTTGTCTCAGCCTTGTTTCATTCAAGTCTGTGCGGCCGAAGCCTGAAGCGGTCAGCAGGCTTAGTTCAGGGCAGCTGCAGTGTCTACAGAACAGCCAGGCAGGGCCTGGAGGTTTAAGAGGAAAGCCCAGGACAGACACACAGCAGGGGCTAACAGGATACTGGCAGAATCTAGGAAGGAAAGAGAGGAGGCTTGAGAAGTGAGGGGAGCCAGATCTCAGGAGGAAGGACAGTGAAACTTAGAACCTCATTTGAGCCAGGTACACTCTGAGTTCTGCTCTATAAAGAGAGAGGCCCCAGCTGAGATGTTGAGAATGAGAAGAACAGAGACTAGAGGCTGGGAGGCCAGCTTCAAGGCTGTGGCAGAGACTTGGATCTGAGTAGGAGGTTGGTATATGTGGATGGTGGCTACAGAGATGAGGAAAAGTAGAGCCACTAAGATGTTGAGATTGGACGTGGAGCTGGGCATGGGGGCCATCTGTAATCTGAGCACTCAGGATCCTGAGACAGGAAGATTGCTACAAGTCTGAGGCCAGCCTGGTCTACACAGTGAGTCCCAGGCCAATTACAGCCACAAAGCAAGACACAGTCTCAAAACAAAAACAAACACACTAACAACAACAAAAAAAAATAGCAATTAAAAAGAAAACAACTATGTGGATCCTCATTGATATGAGACAATCTGGGGAAAGAGGCACCTAGGCACAGAGAGAAGGAATCATGACATATTCCCAGGAATTATTTTAGACATAGGCTGTTTAGAAAGGCTTGGTTATATGATCTGCAAAAATAGATACAGACCAAGCTATGCACAGATTTAGATAAAAGATCCTTCCCAATTAACATAACAGCTGCTCTTTGTTATTAGGGACACTTCATAAATGTGATGATGGTGTCTGCCTAGCTTTACATGTGTTCTGGGGATGTGAACTCTGGTCCTCATGCTGGGCAGTAGGTGCTTTCCCTGCTGAGCCATCTCCCTGTCCCCAGTTACAAGCTCTTTCGTTAATTCTGAAGATTTTTACTGTGTGTGTGTGTGTGTGTGTGTGTGTGTGTGTGTGTGTGTGTGTGTGTGTGTGTGTTGGTATATGCATGTAAGTCTGGTGCCTGTGGAGGTCAGAGGCTTCAGATTCAAAGGCCAAGGAGAAGGGCAGCCCCAGCCAAGAGGTAGCCATGTGCAGAACGCTTACAAAAGAGTCCTGGAAGGACTGCCTGACACCGGGGGAGAGAGACAAGTTGGGTAGAAGGAAAGACCTGAGACTACGAAGGCAGCCTGAAGGAAACTTTCCCCACTGGTTAGGAAAGAAAACTGAGATTGTATCTTTGAAAGTATGTTGTGATCTCAAAAGCTGAATACAAATTTCTGGGGACAATCATCACCCGCAGGCAAACTTAAAGCTAGTTGAGTCTCCCTTGTCTTTAAAGGACTAGAAAGGTGACTTTTCACTACAGTCTCTTTGGCGCCTTTTGAACTATTTGGTAATGTTTCTTAAGTTCTGTAAATCTAAGCAGGCATGGTAGCACACTCTTTAATCCCAGCATGTGAGAGACAGAGACAAGAGGTCAGTTTGGTCTAGAGTGAGTTGCAGACCAGCCAAGGCTACAGAGTGAGACTCTGTCTCAAAAATAAATGTAAAATAATTATTTTTTAACATCTATAACTCCACATGAACCAATTCTTTCATGTGCTCACTCATTAGCAGTGACAGGAAAGCAAGTCAGATCCACAGTTTTCTGTCTGTCCAGAGAAAGAACCATAGAAAGGAAGGCAGCAACAGATCTCACTGTGACTTTACTCACAAGTATAGAGGGGCATATCCCAAACACAGACATGCAACAGTGGGAAGCTCTGTGCTGGCCAAACTTGCCAGAGACCCAGGTAGGATGACAGGACGGATGGATGAGCTGAGTTACAATAAACATGACACACTTTTCAAGTAAGGGCAAATTTAGATGTGAGGGCAGGACTTAGCGACAATCAACTCTGAGACAAAAGCTTCCTGGTATGAGAGGAAGAAATGCGTATGTGCATGTGTAGAGAGCAGGCTGGCTCTGTCCTCTGATCCCCAGAAAAGCTGTAACATGAATCTTCAAAGGTCTTATAGAGCAGGCTTTGGGAACCAGTTGTTGTTATAGCACCAAGAAACCATGTACAGAAGCCATGCAACCAGACGTCTCCATGATCTTGGACCACGCCAGAGAAGACCTGTAAAGACTCCCTGGGGAGACAATGTGAATCAGACTCCAAACCACCCTTGAGAAAAACAAGCTGAACTTAAGTGCTCTGAGTTACCTTTCTCGTTGCTATGACAACACAGCTGACAAAGGCAACCCAGGGAAGGGCAGGTGTGTTCTAGTCCTGGCTGGGAAGGTACCCAGTGCTCTACGGCAGTGAGTGAGGCAGCCTGACATGTGTGTCTGCCGTCAAGAAGCAGAGAGATGAATGGCTGCTTCTTTCCCCTTTCTTATTTAGTCCTATGAGACAGTCAGATTGGGGAGAGTAAAGATTAAACGCCTGACAGTAGAGGTAGGATTGAACCTTTAGGCTGGATTCTGAAGCCTGGCTAGCTCCACTTTCTCTGGGCTCCCTTGTCTGGACAATTGGTCTCTTTCCAACCCCATCCTATTGAGCATCCTCTGGTGAAGGGTCTTGATGGCCAGGGTGTGATGCAGCTCTGCTTACTAATCAAGACAGTACTTACTGAACATGAAAACACCGAGTGAGTGGCAGGCTCGCTGCTGTGCTACGTCATTAGTAGACCTCCGGGCAGGGACTCCAGGGCTGCAAAAGAGGACAATGATGAAGCAAGGGGCCTAGACACTACAAAGCTTCATTTATCTTATAAATGTTCTTTGAAATGTTTCAAATTTTCAACCAGGTGTGGCAGATCACACCTGCAATCCCAGCGCTCAAGAGATTGAGGCAGGAGTACTGTCATAAGTTTGAGGCTGGCCTGGGCTACACAGCAGACCTTATCTCAAAGAAAATTAAAAAGACATTTAAAAAATTCTACTCTATTATTCTTTGATTCAGGTATCTGAAGCCAGTTTAAGTAAATAATATTTAGTACAAGAAGCCAGGGCAGTTAGTCAGGCATGGTGAGGTGGTGCACACCTTTAATCCCAGCACTCAGGAGGCAGAGGCAAGTGGATTTCTGAGTTTGAGGCTAGCCTAATCTACAGAATGAGTTCCAGGACAGCCACAGCTACACAGAGAAACCCTGCCAAAAAAAAAAAAAAAAAAAAAAAAAAAGTCAGGGCAGGAATGCAGCCAGTCATCAGAAAACATATACTTCCGACCTTCTGACCTTTGACTCCTCTCCTTTCTCACTGAGGACAACTGAAACCCTGCAGGGCTCCTTGCAACACCAGCTTCTGGGTCTGGGTCTCCTTCCTCAGAGGTTACTGCCTGAGAAGATCTAGGGACACAATGACATCAGCTAGACTACAGTGTAGTAGGGCAGACATTTCCAAGTAAGAACTGTCCTCCCCTGTGATCCTGTCTGATACATCAAAGCCAGAACATTACCACTTTCCTGCCAGAAAGAAACATCCCATATACATGCACCAGAAGATGAGGCCCTGATGTGAATAAGACTCCTGGAGTGGCCTTCCTCAGACTTCCTTCTGAGAACTGTGGTCCCTTGTGGTTCTCTCACATCAGGTCTGGTGTCAGGGTGCTAAGCCATCATTTAGGAGGGTTTCAGGTCACTGCCCAGGACTCTTCTACTCCAGGATACCCAACAAGAAGGGACTCTTGATGACCTTGATGACCTTTACTCTGTGTGTGTGTGTGATGACCAAAGACCCGTGAAGGGTATGGAGGCGATGTGGATGGGTCTAGTCAGATATTAGGTTGCTCCAAGGTCCACAGAGAACTCCAAGACACAGTGAACTGTAGCTAGAGTTTTCCAGTCCTGCCTGGCCCATGGTCAGGACAAATCTCTCTCACCCGCCAGTCCCACAGCTGCTCAGACCCAACCAAGTAAACACACAGAGACTTACATTACTTATAAACTGTATGGCCGTGGCAGGCTTCTTGTTATCTAGTTCTTATATCTTAAATCAACCCATTTCTATTAATCTATAAGTTGCCACGACGCTTGTGGCTTACCAGTACCTTGCATCTCGCTTTTCATGGTGGTGGCTGGCAGTGTCTCTCTGCCTCAGCCTTCCACTTCCCAGAATTCTCTTCTCTGCTTATCCCGCCTATACTTCCTGCCTGGCTACTGGCCAATCAGTGTTTTATTTAATAACCAATCAGAACAACACATTTAACATACAGACCATCCCACAGCAGTGAACAGAGGAGAATTTCCTGCGATGTCATGGGGGAATCTCATACTCCTCATGACCACCTCAAAGGACTCCTCAGAATAAAAAGAGCAGGCATCAAGTACCTTATTCCAGCCCAATTTACTCTTTTCTAAAAGCTTGTAATATAGGATAAATACTGTTAGACCCATAACCTAGATGAAGAAACTGAGATACAGAGATATGAGGCCATTTGCCCAAGCTCACTCAAGCTCCTAACCACTACCCTGTTCTAGAGAGAAAACAGAAAACCAAGAAAGGGCAGAGTGGGGGGAAACTATCACATCCATTCTTCTGGCCAGTTCTTAGATTAATATGGCTCTAGGGGAAGGAGTATTATTCCCATGTTGTGGTGATATACTAAAGATTACTTCAGAAGCTTCCTAGGGCATGTAGCTCCAGGTCGGGAGCTCAGGCTTGTATACCCCAAACCTGAACTCCCGACTCTACCACTCTACTTCCCAAGAATGGTTCAGTCCAAGGAAGAATGGGGTGGGCTTCAGCATGAGGGCATGGAACAAAGATGGTGGCAGGTAGGCCAGGCTTGTCGCTTGAAAACACGTGACCTTGTGCCAGAAGGGTGTCTCTTTAATAGAGTTCTCAGTGATGAGGATCTGACCACTTTAAGATGTGAACATATCAAAATAAGATACACGAAGAGCCCAAGGCACAGAACCATTCACACTCCAGTTGAATCTCACATGCACATGAATATTTGTGCATGTGTGCATGCAGCATGCATATGCATGCCTGTGTACATGTATGTTTGTTAGATTTGAAAGAATGAGCCACTTTGTTAAGTGGTTCATCAGGACATTAATCTCACGAGTAATTTTTATTTTCTTACTTTTATTTTTTTGAATCTTCTAGTTTTCAAACAGTGATCTCGTTTTACAGCCCAGAAAGAATCTTATTTGCTTACAAAGATGCAAGGCACAGATTCTTCTCTGACACCATCAGAGACAGAACTCACCTCAACCCTCTCTGGCGTTCCTCTCCTGCCTTTGTCTCACAGGTGAATTTTCCATGACTTTCCATTTGTGGCCTCCTGAGGTTGGATTCATCACTCAAACACAACTTTGGTGGGGATGGCTTCTCTAAGGCACCTCTAAGTCTTCTCTAAGGCACCTCATGGAATCTACTTTGAAGACTTCAAGAGGGCCCTACTTTAGCCATGCCTGGAACATACACACTGATGTCCTGTTTTCACAGTGCTGCTCCCATCTAACCAGACTTGAATGTAATCTCAAGTCCTCAGCAGACTTCTGAGCTCATTCTGATTTCTACCAAAGCTCTGCTTGAAACATTGCCTGGGTAGAGAAAGCCACGAGAGCCGGGTTGGTGTTTCTATGATCTTAAAAGCTTTTTACCATCAAACTGTGACTTAATGTCATAACCTACGAGTCTGATTATAGTTTTTTATATAATTTCATTCTCATGTATTTCCAATTGTGTCTGGAGGAGTTGGACTTTTTTTTTAAATTCTATACTTGGTAAAAAGAAATCATGTTAACATTAAAAAAGGCTGGCAAAGACTGAAACTGAAAGCAGTTTCGATTAAAAGCAGTCCTTGGGTTGGCTTTTTCAAATGATCACAACACTCCTCTTCTCTGGATTTCAAAAGTGCCTCTTCCCCTCCCCCTTGGTGACTTTTAAGGGTGACATATATTAAGAAACTAGAAACTGGTCTTTACTTGAAACAACCTCCAGTTCTCATAAACATTCCATCGCTAGTTCCCTTCATGATGATGAATTTTATTGATTGGCTCGGATCAGCTTGTGACCCAGCAGTGGTATTAGACATTGGCTATAAAACATTGCCTCATGAATTTTTCATTGGCCGAGTGTCTGAAGAGCTGGGCAACAGCCTCCTGGAGTGCTTACTCTCCCTCTTCCCCCCCTTCTCTCTGTGTCTCAGGGCTGATGATGCCACCCTGCAGGGCCACATTATTGGATCAGAATGATTACAGCCTGGTTTTTCTGAGCAGAATCCAATTTTCTTTGCTTGTGTGATGGGCTTACAAGTAGTCATGTGCTTTTTGTTGGGGATGGCATCACAGGATTACTAGCAGATACAGTAAACTTAGGTCATTTCCCGTTAAATGTGCTCTTCATGAGACTAAGACAATGTGTCACTCTGCACTAGCCTCTTCCTGGTCCAAAGACTTTCCAGGAGATGGAGTGCTTCGGGCCTCTAGAGCATTGTTGAAGCACTCCCAAACATCAACTCACAGTTCCCATAACACCACAGAGAAGGAACATCCGTCCATCTTCCATGATGGTGGAAAGTAAGTCATCGTGAAATAGCCAAGTGTCCCCTGGACACTTGTACTACAGGCTTGTTAAACTCAAGTAAAGCAGGTGGGAAAATGAACCCCCAGGACCTCATCCTCATCTGGTGGCAGTAGGAAACAAGATCTGATTTCCTTTAACAAAACAGGGAAAATCTCCCTCAGAGCCTATCTGTCCTACGATGAATCACTAGATCTGGACAACATGAAATAATTCAAGTTCTCCTGCATAGAAATGGTATTTTCTTCCAAATAGGTAAATTGTGCTGAAATAAAATTCAAGCACTAATTTTCAATTTTTAAAAATCCTATTTATCTTTCCCCCACCCTACCACACCCCACCCTTCCCTCCCCACCTCTCTCTCCCTCCCTCCCTCTCTCTCCCCTTCCCCCTTCCCTCTCTCCCCCCTCCATTCCTTTCTCTCTCCCCCATGCCTCCTCTCCCTCCCTGCCCTGGTAGGTACACATGTAAAGTCTAGAGGACAACTGTGGGAGCTGGTTCTTTTCTTCTACCATATGGGTCCCAGGGAGACTAAGGCTGTCAGGGAGATTGGGGACAAATGTCTTTCCCACTAGGCCATCTCACCAGTCCTCAAGCTGCAATTTTTAAGGGAAAAACAAATATTTAAAGGTAGGGGTAAAGCTAGTGGTGACTGGAGAAGGTGGAGAACTGGCCTGTATGTGTACATGGCCTTGTTTGTGTGTGTACATGACCTTGTTTGTGTGTGTACATGGCCTCGTTTGTGTGTGTACATGACCTTGTTTGTGTGTGCACATGGCCTTGTCTCTCACTGCAGCCTTCTTTCTGGTTCTGGTTCCTCCGTAAAACATGGAGAAGCCATGAGCAGTGAGTTCTGGGTCTCTACACTGTGGTTATTGTCAAATACTTCGTTGTACACTCAAAGGAGAAAGAAAAAAGCCACAGAATCAGAAAGTTCCATGTTATAAGGCAAGAATTCTTCCTGGTTTCTATCCCTGCTAAAGGAATGGAAACCTCGTGGGACTTGTGGCCCATGTGAACAGGGTGCCCTCCCTCCATCTTGTCCACAACCTGATATCTGAGCCCAAGAGTGATAACTGAAGAAACCATCTTTATATCCAAGGTGCTTATCACACAGAGTGACCATGATACAAACTGAAGAACAGAAACAAGCAGGTCCCATCTGCAGAGGTAGCT